TATATACAGTCATGTGAAACAGTAAGTAAAATCCATGGAAATTTTTTTTTTTAAACCTATTTAGACAGGCAAACAGATCTTTATTCAAACAATGACTACTGATAAAGGTAATATACTTGAACAAATGGCACATAAAATTGGTGTGTTGTCTTCAATATATTAATTCTCATAATATAATGTCTGTACAGATTTGTCACCTAGAACAAGTACACACACCCCTACATTTATCACCACTTCAAATCCATGAAATTATAATCTGTTCCAGATTAGGTTCCAATGATTGGAACCTCCTTAGGGAGTATGCAGGTGAAACCTGTTTTATTTACACCTTCGATATCTAGGGTCTGGTCTTTTCTTTGTTATTGATGTGTGTGGTGTCATGCTAATTTCTAAAGAGCTCTCAAAAAACCTTGAGAAGAGTTGTGGATGCCGGTAACTCTGTCAAGGAGTTTAAAAAGATTATCCAATTATTTGAAATCAATTATTCCAATGTAATTTAAAAAAAAATCTATAAATGATGACTAATTTGCCCAGGACTGGCCAGCCCACCAAATTCATCCTGAGTCCAAGAACCCCAAGATTGTATTTTGGGAATCTGCAGGTAATACTTGCTACAGGTATTGTGTATATATCTGCATTCAGAATTAAATTGCACCAATTTAACCTGCGCAGGAGTTGCGACCGAAAAAAACGTTCCTGTGTGTACACTCTATATCTGAGCCCCTGTACAAAGCACTATCCCTTGTGCGCATATTCCCTCTTATGTACGATCCCTGTGTATGCTGTTATTTCCTCATGCTCCCAGTGAGATCCTGGTCGATCTGCTAGTGGATGGTTATCTCCTCAGGGAGCTCTTGCACCTGTGCTTACGTGAGAGTCTGCCTTCCTTATGTGTGGCTTCTGTGATGGCTCTGTAACAAGGATCCAGCATATCAGTCAGAGCTCTAGCTCTGTCTGATATGCTGGACCCTTGTTACAGAGCCATCATACCAGGATTCACACGTATAATGTCACCACCGTGGTTTACATCTACAGTCAGGAAGGCACCGTATGTTACATAGCTCTAAGAGAGGCGGACCTAATCCTGGCTTGGACAGAACTTAACATCAAAAGTTGGCAGGCTGATTTTACCATTCCCAGGTGGACTCCATGTCCTGTGAGGCATGATCAAGAAAATGCCTGCTTAAAAAAATTGCTAGAATTCAACAAGGGCCATCTCTTTGTTCATTTTTACACTCTCTACATACCCTATTTGCTCATTTAAACTAACTTGGGTGCATGTTGCACTGCACCCACCTAGTCAATGAAAACTTAAAACTTTCTTTAGAGAAAATGATGGTCTACATATATCCCTCGCTTCTTTGTGGGAAATCCAAAGGTTGTTTCCAGGCGTTAATAGCTATAGGTACTAAGCATAAAACGAAAGGATCTTCACATTAAAACTCTTCAGGAAGTCCAATGGTTGTAGAATGCACATAATGGCACCCACCAACTCCAGCAATGGTCTGACTTGATTAAGAAATGGAACCTCCTTAAGCAAGTTTTCGAGTCTTCCATAAGTGTGTATTTAACTTAGTAGCTCGAAGATATTATGAATTTGGTAAACCTGGAAAGCTTCTTGTGAGAGCCCTCAAGTCTAAAGAATTGGCTTCATAAATAGCCAAAATTCATGATAAATCCAGTTCTTTGGTCCACACTTTTACAAACATGGCCAGGGTATTTTGTGAATTTTATCAAATTTATATCCGGTCAGAGGCACTTGTTATAACTCCAATAAACAATCTTGCCTGTCAACAATTGATTAGTTAAAACTTGCTAAGCTTCCTTTCCTATTTAATGTAGCCCTACAAGCCCTATCGATGACTATTACTCCTGAAAAAATTGCCAGTGCCAATAAAACTATACCATCAAAAGCCCTGGGTTTGACAGTTATACCAAGAGGTCCTTACCCCTTGCTTCTGTAGGTGTGTATACTCCCTTAGTTTGGGCAATCCAACGTGACCTGAATTCTTGTTAACACATATTGCTCTAAAGATCCTGCATGTTGTTAGAGCCATTTACCAGTTTTATGCAGAAAATGCTTTTTATAGGGTAGACTGGGGTCATGCTTTTAATGTGATTGTGTTATGCTCACGACCCTCCTATATCTGGGTCTGGGACCCAAACTGATAACCTGGATTTCAAACCAATAATTATTTCCCTCTGCCTAAGTAAGCATTACTTTCATCTCAACCACCCTTTCAACTGTACAATGGCCCTTGCCATGCATGCCTCTCATGCCCACTTTTGTTTATTATTTCCCTGGAGCCCCTCCTTGCCACAATTTGACTAAGTCAAGACATCATTGGCATCCAAAAATGTATAGTTGGTTTACTCCTCCAAGATCTTAAAAAGTATTATATTTCTTCCATCTTTAACTCAAATAGTAGTTTTGGACCTATAGTGTCTCCCCAGAAAAGCTGGGTAGAGGTTGAGAAAGGTCTAACTTCTGGAAATGTATTGAGGGATTTAAGGAATGGTTTAAGAGAGTGGACAGAATCCGCCTATTGGAGGAGATGTTGCACACGTGAATGGCTATATTTTTACCATGTAACATCGATATTAGAAATGCTTTTGCGCTCCTGGTGCTGTACTTTTTAATACACAAGGTGCTTCTGTGATAAGTTTATATGATGTTGTAGAATAGTAAACTTCAGCTGAAGTTTTCAGCTCTACCTCTCTCAGGTTATACTCCTATTGACACATGGGTCAGGTTTTTTTAAAGTGATTGTGTTATGTACCTCTAGATCTATGTACATGCTTACATGTCGGCTATTACTGTATTTATTTATTTTATAAATGTAGTAAAAAAAACAAAGGCCTGCAATTATATGCAAGGGACAGGAACTCCTGTTGACCATGTTAACAGATCCTACTAGAGGTATCACAATTGCTTTTTGTTCTCTTTAAATAAACTTAAAGGATTTGGTACAGGAAATACACTCAGTCCCCAGTCCTAATTTTACTATTTTTTAGTAAATCTCTTTTTTCACTCCCAAGAAAACAAACCAGGATATGACCAGCTACTATGGGTCGTATATGAGCTGATTTCTGTATGCGTGTCCTTTTCATGAACTGCAACACCTTATGAAATATCTTATCTCACATGATAGATGGTCCTTCCATTTGCCAGATTCTCTATTTTATTTGAATTAGCTGTAGAAGGAAATAATCTCTGAGGAGAGAAAGTGAAATGTCCTAGTGCTGTACATGCCAAGACAAACTAAACTTAGGAGAAAGAAACATCATTGTTTGTAGGTTATGCCAGACTAGTTTATACTGCAGCAGCATAAAAAAAAACTAAAAACACACACATAAATGTTCTAGTAAATTTAGCCATTATCTTTTTTCACATTAAAATATATGTTCTCTGCAACAGTGTGCAGAGTGCATTTAAAAATTTAGTTTGTTTTGATTGCTGAAACATAATGTGAACAGAATTTCATATTGCAATATGTGTGTGTATATGTATGTATATGTATGTATATGTGTATATATATATATTAGTTTCTTAATGGATTTTTAAATATGCCCTCACTGACCCCTGTATCTGCAGGCACTATGGGGCAATTCATCCTCAAAGTTCAAAGTAGACACACTGAAGATGTTCAAATTGTTCTTTCAGCAGCTTAGCGCCCCTGCTTCCTACTCCCATTTTACCTGCTGGGTGTTACGGCTGGGAACCGTTCTTCTGCTGTAAATCTTTAAGGCACATTCACATGTACATGCCTCCACAAGGGCACACAGAAAACAAATGTTTTCTATGTTAATTCATATAAATAGTGTAGCGCTAGTGTATCATTTATTCGATGCTGTTCTGATGTAAAGTGCTTAGTGTGCCACTCCTTATTGCTCCTTACTTCTCTTATAAACTCAATATATAAACAAAAAATCATATATTCGTGTGCAAGAGCTTTTTACTATTCAGTGCTATGTGATGAATATCTACAATCTAGCAATATAAATGCATGTATATGAATGAATGTACTGGCTGCAATTCATCGTTCTTGTATTCCATTGAGACCTACAACTCCCTTTGCTGCAGTAACTGACTCCAATTAGCTTTTGTTGAAGTTTGAGTTCACTTTTTCCTCCATTACTGTGGTTGTATAATGGGTGTGTTCAATAAAGACACACGGAATTAGAAATGTTTGTGTGCTATCAGCTTAAGTACATTGAGGGCAATTTATCAAAACTGGAGCAGACAAAATCTGGAGCAGATTTGCACTGCAACCAATCAGCTTCTCTTTCTCATGTTCAAATCTTACCTGAGCAGACTGAAGAGAGATGCTGATGGGTTGCCATGGGCAACTGCTCCAGATTCTGTATGCTCCAGTTTTGATAAATTCCCCCCATTGTGTTTGTCTATTGTTGTGACTTAGATGAGGATCAGATCACATTTTATGGCAGCTTACTGAAGAAAACAAGTTAATTCGAAGGGGTTCACATACTTTTTGTTGCCACTGTTGATATCTATGGGCAAATGCAGTACAACCTAAATGTTTCCGAGTTCTACCTTTCTCTCACTTAGTATGAGTGCTGCTGTGCAGACAATTATTGGGGGGTAATAGCTAGACAGATTCAAGTACTTGTATTCCAATTGTATGTAAAAATATTTTTTGAATGAATAATTAAGAATATATGGTGTTTACTTTATATTTGCCTGGAGCTCCGCATTACTGCTGAAGGTACACTCATTTTGTGATTTGCTTTCCCCATTCCTGTTTTTTTTAAAGATGGTTCCAAACCAAAGGAAATGAATACTGCTTGTTTTATTAAGTAGATGTTATAATTAAACAGTGAAAAGAACACATAAAAGATTTATGCAATCTTTTTAAAATTTAATGTATAATAATTCACAGACATTTATGTGTTGGCGGGATTGAAATTTAGATGGCAGTAATTTTATGAATTCTCTAACCTAGACACTCTAATATGGTTTTAATGTTTTTTTTTTGTAGGTTTACAATTCAAACAAAGACAGCCAAAGTGAAGGAAGTAAGTACAACCCCTCTTCTTGTAGTTGATAACAATAAATCTGGTTTTACGTATCTGGTGAAATAGGCAGAAGTCCCCCTACCACACAGGTCTCAGTGTTATAGCCAGGACTCTACTGTAAAATAAGCTTACTGGTTCAAATAAATCTATGGGGAGAACAATGGTACCTTGGTCTCAGTCCCCTGAGTGATTTAATCATGGGAATATGTAGAAAATATACTTCAATTAGAGGAACCAAGAGGTTCTGCTTCAGTGCTTGTTCACACCCTGGCTGGATCAGACCTGGATCATATCTGCAAACGTGGTGCAATGCATTTTTGACGTATTCCGGTGATTTAAAATGGGCTTTCAGGTGCAGTCCATTGCTTTCGCAAGCATTTTTTCCCCTGCACAGAATGGACTGCACTAGTGTGAACAGAGCCCAGAAATACTATAGGAATACATTGTGATGCATTTTAGGTGCTGACAAAAAATGTTCTAGACTGGATCGGGCCGAGACAAGGTGTGAACAAGCCCTGAGGCAAGCTGTAGCTATTAAAGTAGGGCCCAAAGTTTTTAGATCTCTCCTTGCCGAGGTTACTGGGAAAAGTCTAATTGGGGGATCCGGCCATTTCTCACTAAACCCAGAACATTAAAAAAATGGATGTAGGTTTACTTTTCTCCAACCCCTTATATCAGAGCTTCTTAAGACTTATTTATTCTAAATTTACATATAACGTATAATGATGAGCTGCCATATGGAGTGGATAAAGCAAAAGTTAACCTAAATGCACATTGGACAACTAGCGCTGTGCAGGAAGAGTTCCATCCTTTTTTCTTGTTTTTATTTTTTAATATCCCTGCATATGATAGGATGTTTAAAGATTCACTTGACATCTCAGGCCCGAAGTAGCAGAAACAGCACACGGATCAAAGTGAATAAAGCTTGTTAGATGTTCCAAATGCAGCAAGTGTCCACAGTGGTAATAAAAAGCTGAGGATCTGCTTGTAGGCTAGCACAGAACGTAAATGTAGCTGAGACACTTGACTCATATGCCACAGACTGAAATAATTATTTTCAGTGCTCCAACTTTTTGCTACAATTTTAATGTATCTTGGATTCCAAAACCATTTAATAAATATGGCAACACATCCCTCTTGTAAATGCCAGGTTTTCATGTTAATTCTACCACTCAGATCATTAAGTACTTATATGGAACAGGTGAACGGTAAGGAGTCCAAAGACCCCCTTTTGCTAATGAAAACACAGAGAAGTACAAATTCAAATAGCAGGTTATATCAAAAACATTGTGCTTCTTTGCTTTCACCAGGGCATGGTACATAGACTATGGTTTTAATAATTTAGGGTCTAAACAGCAATAATATAGAACCATTTTTGTTAGGTTAAAATTAGATCCTTACGTTTGGGCTTTCACATGCTTCTGGGGACCACAGAAAGTATTTTCCTACTTGGATATTTCATTCGATAGCATGCCTTCCCTCTGACTGGCTCGGAGTTGTTTGATGTGTCCAAAGGCTACCTATAGACATGAAAAAAATAGCACCACTTATTTAGCCAATATTGATAAAAACACAGATCTTTTAAGAAATCTAATTTGTTGATCGTGGGTGAGATGCCAGAATTGTCAGCATTTCAATACAATTTATATTCACTTTTGTCGAAACTGATTTGTAAATGTTTATGGAAAGATTTTTCGTAATTCTCTCAGTGGTTGGATCCTGTGAATGTGATCTCACATCTGACTTTAGTCATTTCTAGAATTCAAATACAAACCTGCATACCTGGGTGTAGAAAAAAAAAAATCATAAGTGTTATATCTTTGACCAGTTTAGACTTAATGAAATGCTGGAATTATGGGAGCAGCTGTTGTTGACTTGTTTTTAAAGACGCACTCTCCAGGGCATAATCCTTTTCCTGTCTTTACGTTCTAATGAATTACTGATCTAGAACAAGTATATAGCCCAGGTGTCTTCAGAGGCAACCTTGTAAGTTTGTGTAATGCTTTTCTACACTCTGAAGATGTGTTACACTGAACCTGCACATTCAGCCACCCTCTAAAGTATTTGGCCAGCCTTAGACATAATGTAATTTGTTCCTTTCCTATTATCACAAAGTGTTGTCAGTGTGCAACTGGCGATGTTTAGCTGCCAGCTATATCAGAGCACCGTGGTCTTCCCAACTGCTGTATAGAATTCTAATTTACATAGAATGACACTATTAATGCACATAAAATTAAGTTGTACACAATTGAACTATACTGGTACACATTCTTGAATTGTGTATTCAGAAAGCTAAGCAAAACCTTGTTTTCATGTTTGGTATGAAAATGTAGCCTGCTGACAGTACAAATAAGCTATTTATTCCCCCATTCTCGTGGATGTAAAAAGACAGTCACTTTGCCTGAAGCAAGTGTGAGATTGGTAGAAAATTACATTTTCTCCATTCATTTGCTTTTATCTCCTCCATAAAATGTTGCTTGTGTCTCCCTTTGTAACATGATTATGAGATTGCTTGCAGATTCCTCCCACATTAGTCTAAATGGCTGTTACATGTAGAAGTGCCATCTGCAAATGTTCGAATGGTACAGAAGTAGAATTTTTCTCTGTTTGCCTGCTATATAACTCTACAGTGTTTTTGCTGTAAAAACACACAATGCTTCAATTCAAAATCTTTATATTCTGTGTACTTGGTTTTCAGTACTGTACAGCATGATATTTATGTATGTGAAAAAAGTGTAAAGTCTCAGCCCTAATGGTCCTTGTGCACAGGCTGATTATTCACCTATAAATTACATTATAGTTTGTATAATACTTGTATATATAGTTTGTATAACTTGAAAAAGTTTGTACACCTTCAGTAAGTATCTAGAGCTCTGCATTTAGGATTTTTTAAAATGTGATCTGCTTGGGAGCTTGTGCAAGTTGCATTATGTGAGAAAGCATCTTCAGGTAGCTCCATCGATGTTGTTCTCATACTCCGACGTAAAACCTCTTCCTTCTGCATGGAGACACTTCCTCCTGCAGGCACACAACAGACACTAATATGGGCAAAATTGTCAATAAATCACTGAAAACCACAGTGATAAACTAGCTAAATTCAGCTAGATTCTGGCCAAAGATGGCTCCCAGAAGGCCTCAGACCTTTCTGCACAGGAATATACAGAAACCTGATCTTCCCACACAACAGATTAGGACACTGCCGAATCATTGCTTTTTATAAAGATGTCAATTTAACACAGTAAAACCATGCTGACCACACAAATTAAATCCATGAGAATAGATCCCTCTTTTTTTTAAAGCAAGATATGCTAAATTTGCAAAAAATTACCATTACAGAACAGCATTCGTAAAGTAGAGGACATAGTTACATAGTTACATAGTTAGTCAGGTTGAAAAAAGACACAAGTCCATCGAGTTCAACCTATAGAGAAAAAAAAAAAGAAGAAAAGCCTAAACGGAACACTATGCTAACAATTACACCCTGTTGATCCAGGGGAAGGCAAAAAAAACCCTCTAAAGCATGGTTCAATTTGCTCCAGGGGAAAAAAATTCCTTCCTGATCCCATAAGGCAATCGGATATTCCCTGGAAAAACAATCTCTGATGCCTAATATACCTATAAGAACTCAATATCCAGTAATATTCTGTGCATTTAGGAATACATCCAGATATTTTTTTAAACAATTTACAGAGCTAGCTAGAACTAGCTCCTAAGGTTTATGTCTCTATCTCTGGAGTCTATACCTCTTTTAATACAAGAAAGTATTTTGCTTGCTTTAGAAACTGCATCTCCCCATATCTTCTAATCTTAGATTAGCCTTGAATGAGTTAGCAGATCAGAAAACCAAGATTTGTGACATGGAAGATAGGATGAGAAGGCACAAAATGAGACTCCTTGGCTTCCCGGAGGTACCTGAGGGCCCGCAGACTAAGCACTTTTTGGAGGACTGGTTCTGCACCTGCATTGGGACACAGCACTTGTCCACCCTTTTTGCTATCAAGGGGCACATAACTTGTCTACCCTTTTGCTATCAAGGGGCACATCATATACTGTCCAAACTACCTCTTCCTGGAGCTCCACCATGGCTGTGACTGACTAAACTTTTACATTTCCAAGACAAAGACACAATTCTCAGGACGGCCAGGTCCATCAGTGCCCCCAAGTACCACAGCAACAACATCATTTTTAACCTGACTTTTCAGTAGTCACACAGAAACAGAACACATCTTTTCTCTTGACTAAAAAATTGCTCTGTGAGAGCGACTTACCTTACAGCATGATATAACCTGTCAAACTCCGGATCATCAGTCAAGATGAGGCCAATTTATTCACTTTTTGGGGCTAATCTCTGGCTCAAGAATATCACCATGATGCTATACATGGCTAAGAGATACATTGATGTGAATATAGCTAGCCGGAAGTTTCTGTGTACATTTGAAAAAGTTTGTAAATATGGCTGGCCAGGAGAGTCGGTGTGGAAGTGAAGGAGGCTACCATGGTTACAGTAAACATCTTGCCATTAAATACTAGGATAGTGTCACCCCTGAAGAAGTCAATGTATGCAACGTGTAGAACCTAGGTGACATCATCCCGTTTTGGAGGAGCATGGACATGCATTTGGATGCACAACAGCAACGGCTTTCCCTGCTTTGTGATCTTTCCCTAATGCACCATGCCTTATTTGTAAGTGGAGAATTATTTAGGAACTGTCTTTTTTTGCATATTTGCACTAATCCCTTTGGCCCCTTTAAGCTGACATCACCGTTTACCAGAAGACAGAGGAAGATGAGCCCCATAGAAGTCAGAGGGAATTTACTGTGCATGTGCAGCCAGGAGAAGGAGACGTCTGCCACAGGTTGTCAACAAACAACTGAGGTCTGGCCTATCGTAACTCAATAAGTTTTCATCTCTCTCAGGGACGGGAAGGAGTGGTGACGTCAACTTGAAGGTGCCAAAAGGATAAATACATTTTGTTTTAAAGGCACTTATGCTTTAAAAAA